TTCTGGCAGCTTGTAATCTTTTCTCTTTGACCTGGGAACTCTGGAATTTGGCTATAATATTCCTAGGAGTTTTCCTTTGGGGATCTCTTTCAGGAAGAGATCTGTGGATTCTTTCAATTTCTACTTTGCCCTCTGGTTCTAATATATCAGGGCAGTTTTCCTTGATAATTTCTTGAAAGACGATGTCTAGGCTCTTTTTTTGATCATGGCTTTCAGATAGTCCAATAATTTTTAAATTCTCTCTCCTGGATCTATTTTCCAGGTCAGTTGTTTTTCCAATGAGATATTTCACATTGTTTTCTAATTTTTCATTCTTTTGGATTTGTTTTGTGTTGATTTCTCATAAAGTCACTATCTTCCAATTGCTCTATTCTAATTTTTAAGGAAGTATTTTCTTCAGTAAGCTTTTGGACTTCCTTTTCCATTTGGCCAATTTTCTTTTTAGGGCATTCTCTCCTCATTGGCTTTTTGGACCTCTTTTGCCATTTGGGTTAGGCTATTTTTTAAGGTGTTATTTTCTTCAGTATTTTTTTGGGTCTCCTTTAGCAAGCTGTTGACTTGTTTTTCATGATTTTCTTGCATCACTCTTCCAGTTTTTCCTCTACTTCCCTTACTTGCTTCTCAAAATCCCTTTTGAGCTCTTCCAAGGCCTGGACTGATTCATATTTTTCTTGGAGGCTTTGGATGTAGGAGCTTTGATTTTGTTGTCTTCTTCTGGTTGTATATTTTGATCTTCTTTTCACCAAAGTAAGATTATAGTCTGACTCTTTTTGGCTGCTTGCTCATGATCCCGGCCAATTACTTGAGTTTTAAACTCTTTGTTAAGGTAAGAGTCTGCTTCCAATGTGGAGAGTGTACTGTCCCAAGCTTCAGGGGTTTGCATTGCTGTTTTCAAAGATACTTGTAGGGACCTGTAAATTTTCAGTTCTTCCAAAGTGGTATGATAAGGGGCGAGGTGTTTACTACTTTCCTGGCCTGTGACCACAAGTATTCCTTTCTGTCCTGTAACCGTGAGAAAGGGTTCCTTTCCACAGCCACTCCAAGCTCCACCATGCCAGCGTTCCTGCTCACCCTAGCACCGCAGACCCAGATCCAAACACGGGCAGATGATTCCTGCCTCAGCACTGGCAAAGAGATGCCAGCAGTCCTCCTCTGATCAGCCATTGGATTCCCCCTCAGTCTGTGGGCCGGAAGCTCGGGAAGCAGCTGCCCCCCCACCAGGGCCAGGCTCTTGGGGAATGGAGATGAGACCCGGCCTTCCTTTCTGACCACCGACAGAAACAGAGTTTTCCCACTGACCTTCTAAGTTGTCTTTGGCATTCGTGGATTGAGGAGTCTGGAAACCTCCACAGCTGCCTGAGATTCAGTCCTCTGAGGCCTGCTCCAGGCTTGCTGCGGCCTGCGCGCCCACGCCGTGCCGCGCTGCACTCCCAGCCTGGTGTGATACACCATTCTGATCAGTCAACCAGGTTGTCTTGGGCTGGAAATTTGTTTCATTCTGTCTTTTTGTGGGTTCTGCTGCTTCAGAATTTGTTTAGAGCCATTTTTTATGAGTATTTGGAGGGGTTTGGCGGAGAGCTCAAGGAAGTCACTGCTTTCACTCCGCCATCTTGGCTCCACCCCCCTTGAGCTTCCCTTTTTAAAGTGTTAGAAACATTTAATGGAAGTGAGGAAACTTAAGGAAAAATCTATTTTGCTAGCAGCAGGGAATACCAGATCTAAATGTTCTATTGCACAGCGACAAATAGAGGAAAAGTCATATGTACATTTTGGCAATGTTAGTACTTAACTTCCTGTATAGGTTTATAAGTCACAGGATTCCCATAAATATGTGCTTTACTTAGTGCACATATACACAGACACACAAATGGATCTCTGCCAATGATAATTAAGCACTGTTAACAGCTGGGATGTTTGCATTACAGAAACAGGACACCCCCTTGCCTTCCATTCTCTGACCCCCAAAGTCATTGGAAATTTTACTTTAGTGGTACATAAACTAATTCTACCTCCAATTCCTGCTGTAAAGTTTGACTTTTCAGGCTTTGGCCATCTGTAAAATTATAAGCCAACAGGGAAAATATTAAATGACTAAAGCATGAAACAATGAAAGGAAATCCCAGCCTAAAACACAACCTTAGCTGGAAAGACTGCTGTTTTGTACAAGAGATAATTTATTAAAAGCCGAAGTCTAATTGACTTCACTCCTCTTTTGGGGAGTTTGAGGGAAAATGCAATCTATGTATTGATATTGATGTCAATATTGATAACTATATCTATCTGTTTCTATAGCAACATCTATAGTTACACCATTAATTATTAATTAATGTAATGTAATTAATGAATTATAATTCATGTAAACAGATTTTGTTGAAATTATAGAATCACAGAGCTAGGAGGAAACTTAAAGATCATATAGTTTCCAACCCCTTCATTTGACAGATAAAGAAATTGGATGCCAAAGAACTAACGTTACTTACCCAAGGCCACACAGCTAGGAAGAGTTGGGACAAGATTTAAACCCAGATGGAGTTCAAGTTCAATCTTCTTGTGTTGTTTATTTTGATAAGGTCCTATAATGATGATATTTTTAATTTTTAAAAAAATATCCAAAAGTAATTTTGAAGAAATAGGAGGGTTTTCAAGATTGTTTCAATTAGAAATATACACATAGAGGTATTTCATGCAAATATATGAATATTTACATATACATAGACAATATGTTACATATCTTTATGTTGAAAAGTCTTCATGATTACTGAAAAAAAAGGCTGAGAGATGTGAAATGACTTGCCTAGGGTCACACAGTTAGTAAGTATTTAAAGTCAGGTCTTCCTGACTCCAAATTCAATGCTCTGTTAACTGTGCCACCTAGTGTTTGGTGTAACATTTTAATTTATCGATTGTATATGGTTGTTTTCATGTAACAAATATTCCAAACATCCATTTAAGATAATTTTCCACTGCTAAATTCAGAGGGTTTGGATAGACAAACACAAAGACAAATAGAGCTTCAAAGAATTATTTTAGGATGAACTTCATGCATTCCTTTACATTTTCCAGTTCACAAACTGTTCAGGACCCTATGAGTCATTTTGAAAATACACTTACTCCTTGAGTATACCCAGTGGTACTCCAGTAACAAGTATAAGGATTAATGTAGCTTCTAGTAACTCTTGACTTATCACCCTGGATTATCCTCTGCACAGAGACAACTTGAATCACTAAATCCAAATCCTTTTGATATTACCTATTATTATCTCATAGGCACCATTAATTAAACAACTTTAGCATGAAAACGGTGAATATTAGTGTTCAGTGGGTATTCCATACAATATGTTGACAATATTTTAAAATTACCTTTGATCTATCTAAAATTATAATGAATAGTTACAAAAAAGAGGAAGAGATGACATATAGATGGAATAAATATGACTGATTTTTTAGAGAAGAAGAGAGTTATGAAGTAAAGTAAAATATTATCATTATTTGTATTTGGATGAGGCAGAATGGCTTAATATCAGGTAATGAGCTGGCCTAAGAATGAGGAAGAGCTGACTTCCAACTCTGCCTCTGACACATTGGCCATGTGACTCTGGACATGTTGAGTAACCTCTCCGTGTCCCCAGGCAACTTTCAGTAAGTTTCAGAGAAGGTGGTGACCTGCACAGGTGGAGAGAATTTCGTACCAGGAATTGAGATGTGCTTTCCTTCCACTTCTACTCCTCAATAAAGCAGCATACACAAGGATTAAGTTCTTTTTAGTCTTTCTTCCTTAATTGACTAAAGATGACTTACAAGCATTGAAATAGAACTTAAATCTATTACACGTGTACAAATATATATAAAGCAGTCATTTATAAGACATCCATATCTTCCCTTTCTCTTTTTTTGTCAAATTATCCATTATTATTTCTAAGAGACAGCTAGGTGATACAGGGGGTAAAGCAATGAACTTGGAGTCAGGAAGATCTGAGTTCAAATGCTTCTTGAAACACTTACTAGCTGTATTACTCTGGGCAAGAAGTTAAGTTGACTTCTGTCCACCTCTTTCTCTTCATTTGTAAAATGCAGGTAATAATAACACCTTTGTTTAATCTTTTCAGTCATGTCAATCTCTTTGTGCCCCCTTTTGCATTTTCTTGGCAGAGATACTGGAGTGGTTTGCCAATTCCTTCTACAATTCATTTTATAGATGAGGAAATTGAGGCAAAGAGGGTTAAATGACTCGCCCAGGATCACAGAGCTAGCAAGTGTCTGAGGCCAGATTTGAACTCAGGAATATGTGTCTTTCTAACTCCAAACCCCACAATCTCTCCACTGTGCCGACTTAGCTGCTCCAATAACAGCACCTACCTCCCAGAATTAAAATAGGGATAATAATAGCAGCTACTTCCCTGGGCTATTATGAGGATAAAATGAGATAATATTTCTAAATATTGCAAATCTTAAAGTGTCATATACATTCTATCTCTTTATAATGATGGTGACGGATGGCACAATGGATTGAGCACTGGACTTGGTGTCAGGAAGACTCATCTTCATGAGTTCAAACATGGCCTCAGACAGTAGCTCTGTGACCCTGGGCAAGTCACTTATCTCTGTTTGCCTCAGTTTTCTCATCTGTAAAATGAGCTGGAGAAGGAAATGATGACAAGCCCTTCCAGTATCTTTGCCAAGAAATCACCAGGGTCCTGGAAGAGTTGGACACAACAGAACAACAACATAATAGCTGTGTAGAGTCTTCCTCTGCAGATTCAGTAAGGGAAAGAAATGAAAGCAAATAATCCCCTTCTTCAACCCAAGATTTGAAAATTTCTGAGAGGAGGGCATGTAGTAATTTAACCCCATGTCCATGTACTCCTGGGCTGAGGAAATGACGAGAAGGAAACTGTTTTTGTCTCGGGAACCATGTGGCATTCCAAGATAAGACAAACAGTTGCTAATTTGAGTATAAAAGCAGGAAACATGATATTCTTATTTCCTTTTATGCAAACAAAAGTATGTGAGTGGCAGTGGTAAGGTATTTGTTCCTGGGCTGAACCAAAGCATAGAATCAAAGACCTCCTTTTGGATCTCTCAGTTTTCCTTTTCCCCCTCCCTCTCCTCTCTTTCTTGTGGATATTATGGCTAATAAGACAACTTCTTTAGGAAGCCCATGGCCGGAAAATTTCTGGGGTAAGGTCTTTTCTTTGTTTTTAATTTAAATTAGTATAGAAAAAGATTTTGCCTAATTTGTTAAGCATTCATAATCTCTCAAATAAGTAGGTTCCTAGGATCTGAGTGAAGTTAGCATAATTTGGCTATATGGATATAACAGAACATCTCATTTTTTAACACGTATTTGGAAAAGAATACAGGACACAGAAATAAAGTAAGTAGAGTTCAAGAAAGAATTAAAAATTAATACTGGGATGGAAGAGAAAGGGAGTGGTCATAGTGGCAACTCAGGAATGGAAAAGTGTTATAATTTTTTGGAAACAAAGTTTGTTTTATTAGTCACTGTAGCACACACTGTAATGTGTGTCCTTGTTTCATAGGATTAATAGTCCTTCAGTCATGTTTCCTTTGTTCTTGCTATTTGCTCACAGATCCAACCTGAAAGAAAAAAAAAACCACACACACTTGGTTTTAAGGAAATTGTTTTGTACGTGGCTTAAGTACGCATGAACTATAGACATGGGTGAAATATACGTGCTATGGAGATATGAAGCCAAATGTAAAATGTAGCTTAACAATACAAGATATAGGGTTATATTGCTATATATTAATAATTAAAGAAATAATATCAGGGGTAAAGAAAATTTGAAAAATAAATAAGAGAAAAACGTTTTCAGTAGAGATCTGAAAAGAGCAAATTGATGAGTATGGGACAGAGGGCAAGTTTGTTACTGATGGCAATCATTGCAGGGAAAGTATAATAGTTGGAAGGAGGATATACTAAAGGAACAGAGAGAGAAAGAATAAGGAAAGCTGCAATTTCTATGAAATATTTGAGATCACAAGTCGTTTTAGAAATAAAGAGGCAATTCTGAGCTTAATCCTAAATTCATAGGGTATTCTATAACTGTGTATCAATGAAGCAAATGATGGAGTTGGACTAGAATCAGGGTTTTTTAAGACTAGGATCTAGGAATCTGGTTTAAAAATATATTTTGGTAACTATTTCAATATAACTTGTTTCATTTGTAATCTTGTGTATTTTATTTTACACATTTAAAAATATTCTGGGAAGTGATTCATAGGCTTCATCAGAGCAACAAATGATCATAAAACACACACACACACACACACACACACACAATTAAGAACCTCTGACATTAGAAGATTTTGGAGTTTCCTTCCAGTTCTAATTTATATGAAAATCTGAGACAATTTACTAACTGGCTTAAGGAGTAAAATGTGCTTTTCCATCTCTCTGGCAGAAGACGGATAGTGAGCAGTAAAGGCATGCTGCTCCTGCAATTGCCCCCTAGTGGTCTAGTGTCACAGATGTTTTTCCCAATTAGTTTTGGGGAGAAATGTGGGGATTTATTTTGCTCAACTATGCGTATTTTCTATGTTTTGTTTTTATTTCAATGGGGTAGAGATAATTGGGAGCAAGCAATACGATTATCAAAATGAAAAAAATTAATAAAATTTTTAAAATTACACAGAAAAGAACAGTACGATCAGTATAAAATACAATCAGGGCAGCTCTGAAAAGAACATGTTGAATTTGTTGTGTACTTGGGGGAGAAACAAATTGTGCATTGTGCAGATTTGAGGCTACATGTGTAATCCTCTTTTTATGGTTTGCTTTGTACATGGCAATGCTCATCTTACTTAGTGTTTGTTAAGTTGAATAAAAAGAAAGATAGCTTCGAAGGTAGAAAAGATAAAAAGAATAACAATTTTTAAAAGGTGAGTAGTTAAAGCAATAGATATTAGGAATGTAATCTATTCATAATATGTGTGTGGTATAGTAAATAGAAAGCCAGCCTCAGAGCCAGGAAGACCTTTGTTCTGCCTCTAATCCATATTGGTTGTATGACCCTACACAAATCACTTAACCTCTCTGGGCTCTAGCAAACTCTCAAAAATTCTAAATTGCAGAGTAGGTGCTGAATTGCATGGGTAGAGGGAGTTTTCTCACCTAGTAGTTCCTTATACTGATGAATCTCTGGTCTAAGAAAAAAAATCTATAAAATTGGTTTGAATAAAGTAAATTATGTTTGTAAAAATAGTCAAGTATTCATATGCTAGCCAATTCCAATAAGTACACTAAGGAACAATAACCGGCCTTAGACTGTGAAGTCTTTTCCGTGAAATTAATTCTTTCCTAAGGAAGTTATCTCTGATACAATGTGGCTTGCTATTTTCACTTATGAAGAGACTGAATGTACTAAATACACATGCAAATTTCTAGGGTATATTTAAAACAAGTTATTTTTTAAGTTAGTACTTCCGTAATATGTCCAAAAATGAAACAACTCTAAATGAAAAAATATAGGTAAGCAATTTTTTAAAAAAATGACAAGTAAATGACATCTTATGGTTGATAAATGAGAGGTACCTGGAAAAGGGCAGTCTTAGAGACATGAAGGTCTGAATTCAAGTCTGCTTCTGTTACATACTAATTAAGCAGTGACTCTGGGGGTGTTTGGCCTTTTACAGCCTTAGAAGACTCCCTAAGACTGTAGTTTGCTTAGAAGTTGCTAATCTAAATTTTGGATGGGAGAGGGTACATATCTAGAGTCCTCTGTATCAATGAAATCATGAGCATAGACAAAAAAAATGAAAGAATACTCACAAAATTATGTATTACTATAATTCATAACGAGGAGACTATGCTTCCAGCTGGGGTGATCTCAGGAAGCTTCGTAGAGTGGGCATCCCCGGATTAATGGATCAAATGAGATAACACAGAAAGTGCTTTGCAAACTTTCAAGTGCCATATAAATGCTATTCTTAGACAGCTTCATCCACAGCCCACTACTACAGCCTAGAAGGGATTATGACGAGACTAAGTTAGTCACATCAATTGAAGTCAGTCATCAGTCAATACGCATTTATTAATCACTTATTATGTGTCAGGCACTATGCTAAGAACTGACAGTACAGAGAAAGGTAAATGGTTCTTGAACTCACAGAACTCACATTCTAAGAGAGGAAGGGATACAATACGCAATGTACTAATAGGGAAAAGAAATTAGACATTTATTAAGCACCTACTATGTGCCAGGTATTGTGCTAAATGCTTTACAAATATCTCCTCACAACAACCCTGGAAGGTAAATTCTATTATTTCCCTCATTTTACAGTTGAGGAAACTGAGACAGATAGGTTAAGTGACTTAGATCACATAACTACAAATGTCTGAGGTTGAATTTGAGTTCTGGTCTTCCTGATTCCCTGCCCAGTACTATGTCTACTGTACTACCAAGCTGTTTATATAAAAACATAAAGCATAAATAGGAGGTAATTTTAGAGGTAAAGCACTAGCATAGCATAGGCAGTGCAGTGTGGGGGGGGGACTTGGAAAGGCCACTTGCAAAAGGTAGGATTTGAGCCAAATTTTGAAGGAGGCTGGGGATCCACCAGGTAAGTGAAAGGGAGGAGGGAGAGCCTTCCAAGTAAGATGGTGCTTGTAAAACAACAGGAACAGAAACCAAATATTTTTTTTACAAAGGAAGAACATTATATTTCAGGATGTACACATGAGTCAGGTTCCAGCAAAATAAATCTAGGTTTCTACAGCTTAGAAACATTGAGATTTCCTTTTCTAGGAGTCAAGGGGAAGAGAACTTTTCATAAATTCAACATCATCAGAAAGAGGTGCAGGTTGCTAACATTCCAGATCTATCAGGAGATGTTTCTTGAACCTAGGAGACACCTAGCAATGGAGCAAAGTTTAGGCAACATGGATAAGACATTCCAAAGGCAATGTGACAATCCTCTTGGTAGATCTTCAAAAGAGCCAGAAAAAGCATACGTTTCCTTATGCCTAATGATACTGCTTTAGTTGAGGTTCTAGGCTCTGTTAAAGAGAGGAGGACTAAGTGATAGCTAAGGCCTCTTCCTCCAACCCTCAGTGCTGTAACCTCTTAGGAAAAGTTGGTTAGGGTCTGTCTCAGCTCTTCTTCCAAGCTTGGTGTCAGGATCCATTTCTGCAGCCACATCTCTAAGATAAGGTAGTGAAGGTTGCAGTCAATGGATTTGGCCATATTGGGTGCCTGGTGACCAGGGTTGCATTTACCTTAAGTAGAATGGATATTGCGGTCATCAGTGATGCCTTCATTGATCTCAACTATATGGCTTATATGTTCCAATATGATTCTACCCATGGCAAGTTCAGGCTTACTGTCAAGGCTGAGAATGGAAAGCTGGTGATCAATGGAAAAGCCCTTGCTATCTTCCAGAAGCATGATCCCACCAATACTAAATGGAAAGATGCTGAAGCTGAGTATGTAGTGGAGTCCATTGGTATCTTTACCACCATGGAAAAAGATGGGGCTCACTTGAAAGATGAAGCTAAGTGTCATTATTTCTTCCTCTTTTCCTGATGCCCCTACATTTATGATAGAAGTGAATCATGAGAAATGTAATTCCTTTAAGATTGTTAGTAACGCCTCCTACACTATCCATTTCTGGACCCCTGGTCAAGGTTATTCATAACAACTTTGGCATTGTGGAATGACTCATGACCATAGTCCATGCCATTATTGCTACCCAGAAGACAATAGGTGGCCCCTCTGACAAGTTGTGGCATGATGGTCATGGTACTGTATAAAATATCCTTGCTTCCGCTGTTACTGCTAAGGCGATAGGCAAGGTCATACCCAAGCTAAGTGGGTAGAATATAGGCATGGCCTTCCACGTTCCTACTCCCAGTACATCTGTTGTGGATCTGACCTGTCACCTGGAGAAATCTGCCAAATACAACAGTAATAAGGAAGTGGTGAAACAAGCATCAGAGGTCCCTTGAAGTGCATCTTGGGCTACACAGAAGACCAAATTGTATCCTGTGATTTTAACAATGACACCCACTCTTCTATCTTTCTTGCTGGCACGGGTATTATCCTCAATGACCATTTTGTCAAGCTCATTTCCTGGTACAACATCAATATAGTCACAGCAACCAAATAGTAGACCTAATGATCTATATGGCCTCCAAGGAAAAAAGTGGAAAATCACAGGTCTTGATCTCCAGCCAAAAGAGAGCCCACAGATCTAATCTATTTTCCTATAACAGGGATCCCATGCCTCATTCACTGTCCTTGCCTCCAAACACCCCTATAATAGTGGGAAGAAGTAGAGTCCTGTGGTGTGTGCCATCAATAAAGTCAACATATTCAGTGTGGAAAAAAATTAGTCAACATGTATTTATTAAGCACTTATTAAATTGCGGGCACTGTGCTTAACACTGGGGATACAAAAAGAAAAAACAAAGGCAAGGGAAGCATGCATCTCTGGTGACTGGGCCTAGAGTGTAGGATTGCTTACCTGATTAGAGTCTGAGGGAAGAGCTCTAAGTAGCCAGGGCTGGACAGAAGGAAATAAAACTAGGATTCTAGCTAAGGAGGGCAGAGTTTCAACCCGAGGAAGGGCTCTAGGCCTGACAGACGTAATAAGAACTGAGCCAAAAACATTCATATGTTTTACTCATGCTGTTAGAGGGCAGGAGAGCCTTACTCAGACGGATAGTTAATATTACTCTTTTTCACTAGTGTCCCCCATGCCTGGAATACTCTCTCTACAGCTCTGCCTTCTGGCTTCCCTGGCTTCCTCCAAGACTCAGCTCAACAGGAAGCCTTTTACAGGTAGTCTGCCCTCCCCCTTCCCCACAGCTAGTGGGGAATTCCCCCTGAGATTATCTTCTATTTGCACTATACACAACTGATATGTACCATTATTTCCATGTGTTTCCCTCATTTAACTATGAGAACCCTGAGGACAAGACCTATTTTGCTTTTCCTTGTATCCCCAGTGCTTAGCATAATACCTGGCACATACTGTTTAATAAATGTTTCTTGACTGACTGACTATAGTGGGAGCAATGAGAGAGACTGAGTTTGAGAGGGAGGAGACCACTTGCTTAACAGCAATGAACATCTAAAAGAAAGATGCATAAAGGATTCAAGGTCAAGTATTAGTGGGACAAGGACAGGAGGTAGGAGGACTGAAGCATAGGCCAAAAGTTAAGGCAGGTGGAATGCTAACACAATAAAACAGAAAGGCGATTGAGCATCATGGGTGGTATTGGGAGAGCATATGCCTTGTCAGGCACAAGATACGAGGATGTACTAGCATATTTATGTTGTGAGAAGCAATAGAACAATTGCTGATGTATTGAGACCTGCCTTTACCAATTGTATAGAATCAGAGTAGCTTGAGGGCTTAGAGAGAGTGGATAGCCAGGTCAGCCTGGCTCTACCTCTGGAGGAGGGAGCGAATTAGCATTTATTAAGTATCTGCTATATGACAGGCACTGTGCTTTACAAATATGATCATTTTATGCTTACAACTGTCAGGTGCTATGATGACCTCTACTCTACAGCTGAGGAAACTGAAACAGGTAAAGATTAAATGACTTGCCCAGGGTCACCCAGCTAGTAAGAATCTAAGGCCAAATTTGAACTCAGGTCTTCCTGACTCCAAGCCCAGAGCTCAATCCCCTGCACCACCTACCTAGCTGCCTCTGGAGGAAAGAGAACAGACCTCTAAGAAGTTTTCTGACAAAACCCAGAAGGCTTTTAGCTCTTGACAAAAAATAGGATGATGTCAGTGAAAGAGAAAACTTTTATGGGTCCAGTTTGAATAGTAACAAATTTTGAACCAAGGGAAACCAAATAATAATGACAATGTGGCAGGGCTATTCAGATAAAGCAATGTCAGAGAAAGCTAAAAGGCAATACTAAGCTCATTCATGAGTTCATGAAATCATTCACCACGTCCATAAGAAGTTGGGAAGTACAAATTATATCTCATTTTATGGAATTACAACTTTATCTGTTTTGCTGATATTGAACCCTTTAGCCTGAGATGCCCAAAGTGTATCTATTCTTTCGTATATTGAGCTCTGAAGCTGACTTGTACTTCTGATCACGTTATATTCTCCCACTTCTGGTTCATTGACTTGGAAACTGTAAAATCCCTGGTAATTGATCCCACATTGTCTATGACTGATAATGCTTCTATACTTTCTCTAAGTAGGACTGTCTAGCCAGAACTTATTGCTATTTCTTAGCTAGGGAAGTCTTATTTGGTACTATAGGGATCTCCTACTCAGATGAATTCTAGCCTTGGCTCCATCTAGGAATGAGACCAGAGGAATCATTTTATATGTGTGTGTGTGTGTGTGTGTGTGTGTGTGTGTGTGTGTATATATATATATATATGCATATATATATATATACACACACACACACATATATATATACACATACATAGATACACATATATATGTATATATATACACAACATATATATACACACACATATATATACACATACATATATACACATATATATGTATTATATATATATACACACATATATATATACACACACTACATATATATACACATATATATGTATATATAGACACACATATATATGTATATATGTATATATACACACATATAGATAAACACATACAAATATATATTTATATGTGTGTATATGTATGTGTGTATATATACACACATATATGTACATGCACATATACATGTATACACATATCTAATATATACATATATGTATGTATAAATATCTTTAATGAATTTTCTATTTATATTATAGAAAATAAGTCTAATAGGACTTCTGAGGGGCAAAGAAACAGAGAAAATAGAATGTAAAGGAGGTGATTAGGACAAGCATTGCAGTGAAGCAGGCATGGTTGCAGTGGTTTGAGTTCCTTGCATATTTTTATCCAATGTGTGTTTGTATGTTCTATTGGTACATGAGGGAGGCATCTAGGTAGGAATGAAATGTGTATTATTTTACTAATTGTATCTTGATGAGCACTGGTCATATCATCAAACATAAAGGTCTTAAAATAGTGAACACTATTTGGGAGCTGGTCTATGATAATTCTCTAAAATATTTATTTTGACTGAATTTATGATATTATTGATATGGGAAATAACACTAAAGGAACCTTGTCTACCAGTGCCAATCTGCAACTTCTATTTAACTTATAACCTACAGGGGTCTGAGAGTTTAAGTATCTTGTCCAGAGTCATACAGTCAGTATGTGTCAGAGGCAGGACTAGAAGATTTACTGGACTGCTTCAACATGAAAGTAAGTCTCAGCTGTTAGAAGGTCATACGATAAAAATCCTTCAAAAACAAGAGGAGGACAGTACTTCCAACTTCCCATCAGGCCATCAAAAGACGTTCACCACTAGATCCCTACAGAATATCTGGTTTTTTTCCTAACTGGCTGCTCTTTGAATATTTTTTGTCATGTCCCTCATCCCTACCTGTCATACTTACAGGAGAAGGAGGTAGTCACAGAAAATAGAAGTCTTCTGCTAAGCACAGAACCATTACAGACTAAGAGCAGTATGGCATAATGAATAGAGAGCTAGCCTCAAAGTCAGATACAGTGGCACTAGTGTGGCAGTGCTTTAAGCTGCCAGGCCATAGAAATGAGGAACAGAAAGAATGGGACAAGAAACCATGAGCATGGGAAGTGAGGAGAGGCTGCATGACATGCCACTAAGCTTGAGGGAAAGAGACCAGAATTCACCTCGGGCCAGTACTGTCCCCTCTAAAAGTCATTTGGGGTAGAGACCTAGGTTGGTGAACCATGAATTATCCAGCAAGCATAGGAAGAGACTAAGAACCTTTGAGATACAGCCCTAAGGGAAACCACCATTGAAGGGAAGGGAATCAGAGAGTGAGTAATAGAGGAAAATAAGGGGGAGGGGCAGACTGAAATAACCAAAGATGTCAGGAAAAAGAAAATTCAAAGACCTTGAACACAAGCTTCTGAATCAACAGGGAAAACATTAACAACAGAAAGAAATGTAGCCTCTGAATCTAGTAAACAAATTCAGGTTTCTGTGAATAAATACCACAAAATAATGTAAAATGATCTAATATTTGATGAGACAGAGGACTTTGCAGAATTTGAGAACATAGAATGACCACACACTGCTTATAGAGTAGCTTAAAAAGAGATGTAATAATTATGAGAAAAGAATGTATGGCCTTCACAGCAAAAATAATTGGCATAATAGAAAATATGAATCTAGGATAGCAAGTCTCACTAAATAAACAAAAGAGAAAAGAGAGAACAATTGATTAGCAATGAAAATATGCAGGACTGAAGAACAATCTAGAAGAGAAGAAAAAAAACATGAAAAGAAAATATATTTACTATTCAATCAATACATACTGATCTTGAACACAGATATGTAGAGACAACCTAAGGTCCAGAAGAACATGGAATGTTAAAAACAAACAAACAAACAAAAAACCACCTAAATATCAAAATGCAAGAGGAAATATAAGAAAAGTGCCTAGAACTTCTGAACACAGAAATGGAAATACCCACTGAAAGAATGGATAAATTGCTTCCAGAAAAAGAAAAAAAAACACAAACAACTTCTTAATGCCGGGGTCTGTTCTCATCATTCTTCTCAAATCCTTGTTTACCACTACATGGTTTACAGGTTGAAATATAACCTCTTTATTCCAACACTCAAGATCCATCACAGTCTGTTTCTGGCCTATTTTTCTAGCCTTTCCTCATACTTCTTTTTGGCTATATTCCAGCCACCTGTTCTGTTAACCATGATTTGTTCTCTAATAATTCACCAAATTTTGTTACATCTACCTCTATAATATCTCTGCTTCTCCATCTTTCCACTCTCACAGCCACTACCTTAATTCAATCCCTCCCCAGCACTCTACTTTACTGTTGTAATTACCTTTAATTGATCTCCCTGCTTTGTCTTTCCCCACTCCAATCCATCCTCCACATAACCGCCAAAGTGATTTTCCTAAATCATAAATCCTAACCTGTCATCACCCTACTTCCCTTGCTCAGTAGACCCAAGGGTTCTGCTTACCTACAGGATTGTGTATAAGCTACTCTTTTAGGCATTTAAATTTTATTATATCTTGAACCAAAGGGAAGGGAAAGGAAAGAGAAGGGAAGGAATAGTTAAATAAAATATAAGCAAAGAATATAGTGTGTCCAATTCACTACTGCTGGTGAAACTACCCATTCGGTGGTAGAAACTGGTATTTGTGATTTAGCATCTACTTTTGAATCTATGTATATTGGTTACGGCAGCTACACTCGAATTAATCCAAGATGAAGACTTACATTTGAATCTGCTTTTTTTGTATAAATAGCAATCTATGAGTCATTTTTTTAGTCAGTTTTCTAAGTATCTCCATTTTCCTAATGTGCTTTTCATAGATGGCTATGAATTATTAAATTGATTATTTGAGTCAAACACATAAAAAATATTGGCAGAGAAAATCAAATATCTTTATTGTCTACATTTCATTAGTTGCATTCATTTGGAAAAAAAAATATTTGTGTCTCTGGATCTACCTTCTCTGTGAGACTGCTAATATCATTGGAGATTTATAATGAGTGCCTGTGTACAAAAGCTTTGCTCCTGCAGAGCAACACACCTATCTATCCCAATGTCATTGTACACCTCCCCAAACCCAGAATCCAGTGAGAGTTACATACACCAGAGCTACACAGACAGAGTCAAGCCCCTAAATCACAAGTGAATCTATTCCAATGTATATGCATGCTTTGGAAAATGTAAAACCAAATGTGAACAGTTTCCAAAGATGATCTAACAAAGGCTGTCTTTTAGAGTTGGAATAAATAAAGTTCAAAGAACAACAACAACAAAAATAAGGTTCTGTGAACGTGAGGGAATATTTGTTTTCTTTCTGGAAGGAACAATCTTATGTTCACAAATTATGGATAGTCTGTAATTGGATATTCACAGAACAGTTTTTTATAATATTTTTTCTCTTGCCACACTTCTAAAAAGTCAGGGACCAAGGAATATTGAAAACCAGTGTGGACTTCTCTTTTCATTGAATTTATTAAAAGAAAGGACACACAGCATAAGAAGCCATACGGTTTTCCTGATTTGAATACAAGATTTAAGCAGAGATCTCTAAAATTTTATTTATAGTGTAAATACCGCTTTTATTAAACAAGAAGCAAATCACAGCTTTCACTACAACATATATTTGTGTTGATATTTATATTGAATATGTTCTTGATAGACTTTGTAGCACTAAAAAATACTCAATTTTTCATCTTTCAAGAATTCTGAAAAATAAAGAAATAATTTTAAGAAGAAATCTCATTTTTTTAAAAAAATTAGTTTCATTTTTAAAATAAAAAAGATCTTAAGATTAATCAACACACTGTAGCTAATCTCACAAATGGCTCTATTTTTCAAAGAGTGTGACCCTACCACAAGGAAATAAAGTATTAGAGGCCTAGAAAGTACAGCATTAAATTATGGCCTCTTCTATGCAATGAATCATTAGTATTCTGCCTCAGAGAAAATTTGTAAGTATTAAGGAGATATCTAATCAGAGAGAAAGGGTAAGGATGGACTTTGGATTAAGAAAAAAATCATGACTTGGTTCAGAAAAGGAAATTCAGTTTTTGTTTCACATTTCAGCACAAGAAAAATTGGCGCAAGGGATATAAATGAAATCAGGGCACCATTCAGAATATCAGACTGCTCACTCTTAACTCTTAATACAGGTGATGATAAGAAAGCAAAATGAGTTATTCTAAGCTGATTATTAGATTGAGTTCTACATCAATAGAAACCAGAATTAAATAGCCTGAAGTGGTCCACTAATATGAAGTGTCCCATAATATTTCCCCTAAGGAAGAAGCATTTTCATGCAAAATGACTCTTGAATATAGAAGGAGGAGAAGAAAATAGGAATTCATAGAAAGACTGCTACATGTCAGGCATTATGCCAAGTACTTTATATATTATTTATTTGATCCTCACAATAACCCTGGGAGGTCAATAATGTATACCATTTTACTCGAGGAAAATAAGGCAAGTAAAAGTTAAGTGGTTTTCTGAGGATCACACAGCTATTAAGTGTCTGAGGCTAGATTTTAACTCAGGTTATCCTGCCTCCAGGCCCAGCACTCTGTCCACTGTGCAACCTTGCCATAAACTTAAAGGGTGAGGCAATGGAGCAGAATGATTAATGTTTAGCTGGACTATCATGAGGAAGTGATGCATCGACACTTCTTCTAGAGCACCATTTTCAGGGTTTTTGTTTGGGTTTATTTTTCCTTCCATGATGGACCAGGGAAAAATGCATTTTGAGATTCTTAGACAACCATAATTACTTGTACTGAAGATTGGGGCTCCCTTTACCAACATTTGGGAAAAACTAGATATGAGCAGTACCCTGAGTATAGTTAGAGTGAACCATAGAGATGAAAACAATGAACCATCATGAAAAGATGGTGTTCTTGGTTTAGCAACCTGTGTTGGCACCAGTAGACACAGTACTAAATCTTGGCATTCATCCTTTGTTCATTTACACACACACACAGAAATGCACACACACATTTCCTTTACCTATAAGATTTTCCCAAAACTTTTTTTAAATACTTTTCCAATCTCTGCTTTACCTTGTATCTTCTGTACATGTCTGTAAAGATTGCATCAGATTGACAACTTTCTAGTGAATGGGTTGTGCTAGATTCCTTGCTATGGAGAGAAAGGAAACACATCAAAGTTTTAAATTTTAGCAAATATGGCAATAAATCAATAATTTGTGAGTGTGAATAGGCCAATAAAACCTTTAAAACGACATCCATTTGTTACACAAAAATCAATTATCATTGTTAATGAAATATAATTTTGTAAATTAGTAGATTAAAATGGAGTTAGTAAAAAATAAATACCTCACCAAGCTACATTATCAATAAGATATTGAATTAATGCTTCAGCAGAAGGTCCCTCCAAGTAACTGGAAACATCAATGGTGGACGTACCCTCACCAAGTCTTCTATTTCTAAAATGGGGGAGGGTCCTTTAAAGATTGAAATAATCATCTTTGCTTGAAACATAATAGAAAATAAGTGTTGCCTTTCAAAACTATGAAGAAAACTATTTGGAATAAATTTTTAAGGTATATTTTAGTGTTTTATATGACAATATTCCAGGTTTATCACCTTAAATGCAAAATGATCTTTATCCAAATTTTATGACAATGACTTGCAATTGCTAAAGTTTCAATATATCCAATTGCAGCTTTGAAACATTTTGGAAAATGACAGGAACCTAGCTATTGTTTAAAATTATAGCTTTGTGTTCTGTGTTTTTTGAAGGATTCATACCCAATTAAGCAGATTCACATGCCTAACTGTGATCATTATCTTTATTTCTTATTGCCTGATAGTTTAAGTAATTAGTTAATTGTGTTAAGGTGAATGTAATAAAACACATTTGCAATCATAGTATGGTGCAACGAAATTAGACTTTGAAGTCTAGTCCAATCTGAGTAAAGAATCTGCTGCTCTCCCATCCTTAACAAATGGTCATCCAAATACAAATATTTGTAACGACAGGCAACTCACTACTTTTCAAGACAGCAAGTTCAATTTATGTCTACATATAGTTTTTGAAGATTCTTTGGAAAGAGCTAAGATTTCTTAGTGGATGGCACAGTGTAAGATATTATGAGTATTATAGAACTGAGTGCTATTGAAAGATTTGATCAACCTGACTCATTATTACGTATCTAGCAAATTCATAATGGTAGGGGATATAGAAATAATGATATATGAATGATCTATGGTGAGATAGACTGACCAATTTTATGGAATACACAGTACTACCATGTGGTATGGAAATAGCCTTCGGCAGTACAGTATACCACACCTTAATGTAATAATAATGACGATGATAATGAAAATAATGACAGCTAGCATTTACATAGCATTTTACGGTTTTCAAAGCAGTTTAAAAATATGATCTCCTATAATCCTCACAACCAACATGGGAGTTAGTAGATAGTGCAGTGGATAGAGTATTGAGCTTGGAGTCAGGAGGACCTGAGTTCTGTCCCAGAATCAGACACCTGCCAGCTGTGTGACCATGGCCAAGACATTTAACCTGTTTGCCTCAATTTCCTCAGTGTAAAATGGGAACCCAGCAGAAGGATATGGCAAACCACTCTAGTATCTTATGGATGCTATAAAAATGTGAGGGGTAAATTGGATATGTAAATTTTACGTACACTTTTTTTTCTCCTTAAGAAAGACATCCATAACATGTGCTAAATCAATGAAGTGATCATTAGATTTCTCGATTACAAGACAGCAATATGCTTGTTGCAATCTACACCTGTAAATGGATCAATGCACAGCGAGATTCTGCTATTGTATTTTATAAACTTGTACTCTTCAAAGTGATTTCATCTGAGACTTGTCTAAGCCAGAGGAGGAACTGTATGAATATGGTAACTGCCCTCTGTGTAATAGTAATTGGTGAGAATTTGGTGTGTCTAATAAAGTTTCATGCCAGAAACCATGAGCTTAGTCTTCCATTTACTTGTATTTAAAACAAGATAAAATGAGAAGAACCAGAGAGGAGCTCTGCTTACAGCTAGTTTCCTAATCTTTCCTGGGAAATGTAGGCTCAGCTTTTGTCATTCTAGAAATCTAACTGGCTATGCACGTTCTTAAATGAGTCAATAGCATGAAATGAGACATGATCTCTTAGCATTCCCATGAAGATTAATAAGCTCCAATGTAGTTTCTTGGAACCACTGCATTTGGCAGGTAGCTGCCCCCTATATTTGTGAATGGGAACACTTTTACTACAGGTAGAGACCATTATACAACTGGCAGATGGGGAAGATGTATGTATGAAAAATGAACATTTTACATTCCAAATTATTGAACAAAATTGTGTTTCTAAGATTGAAATTAGGAAGTTGGTTTGAAAAATCAGGCCACATAAATGACACAAACCTACTTAATTACATTAGCTTATTCAAAGCAAAGTGCTCAAGGAAAGTGTTAATCTTCCTAGGGTTCGTAAAAAGTGCAACGTGTAACATCCTAGATGGGAGTGTACTCCTCAGCAGGTAATGTTGGTCAGGACTGCAACCTGGGCCAAGAAGGTGGATGACCCCTGATTACACTGTGACTTAAACTCCAGGATACTCTGTTGGTACTGCCTTTGTTCTGCCTCAGAAGTGACTGGTTTCTGTGCAGCTTTCAGAGTCATACAGAAGCCTACTTTGACTGATTACCTTAGTGACTGAGTATTCCTGACAAAAAAGCAATTTTTTCTCAGCTGGATAAAAGTCTGATGAGTAGGGAACAAGGAAGCATTATAGAGGCTGGCAATGGATTTTATCTATGAAATCAGAAGAAGAGAGTCAGACTGGAAATTTTTTCTTTTCCTTTTGGAGATTTACCATGAAGTTACTTTATACAACACCATGAAAGATATACATTTGTCTTGAGCTCTACCCAAGCAGTGTAAGAAATTTTTTAAGCTTTGAAATATGGAATCCATCATGGAGGATAGAATAGCTAAATATTTAGGGAGAAAAATCAAATCATATTCCAAATGGTATATACTATTTATAGTTTGCTTTTAAAAAGACCTCATATTGACTTAATTCTGTCACTATCTATGGTTTAGAGCTTTGAGTCAGCTTATTCATACATCCAAAAGGATCCTATCTGTTTTGGCTGCAACATACACTATCAGAACATGGCCAAAGTGCTAAAAGAGAAAATTTTGGGGAAAAAGCCCCATTACTGATATTTGTAAAATTTCCTGAAATTTTTATCTAATGTATTGCAGAAGAAAGTAACCGAAATGAAAATACCATGCAGATAATTGATGTTACATGAGAAGGTACATCAAAGCAATGATCATTTAAAAATATTTTCTACTAATGAGGCCCACATAATGAAAGAAAAGAAGAAAAGGCTCCTTTTGTATTATTTGGAGATGTGTTCTGGTCTACCCACAGCCTACATCCTACTTCCTTAACCAACCCTAAAGAAGTGAATTCCAGGGTACCTCTATGATCATTGATATTATACTCTGGAATTCATTAGGGAGTAAAATGAGTAAAAACATTACATCATTGCAGATCAATGAATAAAAAAGAATCATTTTGAAATAATTCTAAGTTTAAATGGTCAACAAGATATGGCCCCTCATCCTACTTCACAGCAGAGTTGGGAGAGAGATGGCAACTTCTCAAGTTGAAAGACAACTTACCTCACGGCAGAATGTGTTTCAAGAGGTAATGCCAGTGTTTCTGAGCAGAAGACACTAAGAAGCATCAGTGATACCAGGAGCTTGGAGTTACCTCTGGCTTCCATCTTTGTGTATCCGAAATAAGTCTAAAAGAAACATTTATATCACCTTTAGCAGCCACAGATGTCATCTGCAAAACAGACCAGAATTTCACATAAAAATATATCAACTTTTTACCAAGTTCAAAACAAGGGACTGTCATTCCATCGAAAGAGATGAAACTGCAACATGGTTACAGATTCAAGCTACACAATTTCTGTCATTTTCCTCCATCACTGAACATAAAATAGCTTCCAGCTATGTGAAGCACTACATGTAGATGTCATACAATTGTATACTATATGGTGGTTTTTCAAACAAATACAAATGAATCCAAGGGACACTAACCCCTTTTTGAACAGAGGCATAAGTAAGCAGACAACTTGAAATCCTTTCCTAACTAAAGAAATGAGTTTCAAAAAGGCGACCAATGAATAATTGATTTCTGCTCCAGTTCTTATCTTAATTGTATAGTAAAGATGAGAAAGGTATGGAAGATGCATAGACAGAGATGTTGAAACACAGAAAGATTACTCAGAACTTCTTTCCTTTGCATCCACAGTCAGACACCATAAACCCTACTAATGGTAAAAATAATGCCAAATTATCTTTGAAAAGTATATTAATGGGGCAGCTCGGTGGCACAATGGATTGAGCACTGGCCCTGAAGTGAGGAGGACCTGAGTTCAAATTGGGCTTCAGACCAAACCTTGACATTTACTAGCTGTGTGACCCTAGGCAAGTCACTTAACCCCAATTGCCTAAAAAAAAAGTTTATTGTCCTTCAAATATTTATTCCTTTAGAAATTAGAAAGTGTATAGAGGAAGTAAGGGGTATTTATATCCATTCTCTAAACACGTCTCTCCAAGTTTCTAAAAAGAAACAGAGGATTTTAAATTCTCCCTCTATAAGAAGATTAACAAAATAAAATATTTAAAATTGTGAAAAGCAAAGACTTAATTACTGTCACAATGAAGCAATTGATTATAAAATGGAAACTTCAATGCTTGAACATGACACAAGGTAAAATGTCACAATCCGTGATTAAGGAGTGTTCACCTGTAAGACAGAAAGAATCTTGAAGCAAGAAAAATCATGCAATAGTAATTAAAACTGAATGAAGAAGAAAGCAGGATAAAATATTTACAAACCAGTAGAGTGAATAAAAGCAACCTTTATAAGACAAGCTTTCTCACTTCAGAAGATTACCTGAGAAACTTGGTTTTGTTATTGATGTGAATAAAAAAAAATGTGGAAAACTTTTTGCTAGAGGGAGAAAAGCCTATACAACCAGTGGGAAGTTCCAGGGGGAAGATAAAGATAAGTAGAGATTCCACTTACCCTGACATATAATGTCGTCTCTGTGATGAGTTGTGCTCCTCTCTCAATGGTACTGGTGGATATTCAGAATCTTCCTATGTAGTGGATTCCTGTGAAGCCACCAAGGACTTCACCTGTTCACTGAAGGGACTGCTGTTCTTCCTAACTCCTGAGCTGGTTCCTTGTTTCCTCTTCACTATACTCTGACCAACATTTCAAACACCACTTCTTTTTTATAGAATTCACACGTGGAGCCAAACAATCACATAGTTATCTGTGATAGATGTCACAGTTGTTCCTCTCCCCGGACATGAATGGATGATTTCCCTGCTTTACAAGGTAGAAAAGCTTATGGAATTCATAAAGAACATGCAATGTTTTTATTATCAGTGAGTTAGATTAACCTATGGTGAATAAGTTCAAGATGTAAGGTACAGGGAAAAAAAAATCAACTTACTTAAATAATCTCTAGGCCCATTCTTAGTAGGACATAGCTTTTTTTTTTCTTTAAAGGAATGTGAATATAATAAAATAATGATTAAGTGGGTTTTTCTGGTCATGAAGCAATGTTTCACAAGAGAGGTTTTTCCTGAAAAAATTTCAAAGGAATTGGAAAAAAGATCACTCTGTGAATCCAAGTAATGGAATCATTTGGGAGCTGTGTGTGTCTATGTCTGTGTAATCTCATGTGCAAAGACATGCATCACATTTATGAAATGTTAATTATGTATTATAGCTTATTCTTAATGTAAGAGAAAAACGATGTTGTTCATGCTTAAATTATTTGTATTTCCTTCCTATTATTAAAATTTCTCTGTTTAGTGAGATTTACAAATAATAATGAGACTTTCAGAACAGCTTCAGGATCATTTGGACACTCAGGGGTTACTGATTAGTCCCTGCAGAGTACTGTTTTAGGACATTAACCCTCAGAAGTTTCATTTCTTTTAAATAAATTATTCTCACATTTTCTCAGGTCTCATATACACTATAACAATATTTTGTTTTCTCTGTTAAGTTTCATTTCTCATTGGAATCCAACCATATTGATTCTTTCTGAATAATATAAGTCTTGGTACATTACTACATCTATTACTCTAGGTACAAGTGTAGGTTCTAATGTTTTACCACTGAACTTTGAGGGAGAAAAAAAGAAAATTCATGAAATGTCACTCTAGTAGAGAGGATCTCTTTGCTAATACAATGTAACATGGCTTGCTGAGAATCATGTGGGATTTGGAGTCAGAGGCCTTGGGTTTGAATCTTCCTTCTGTCACTAACTAACTGTGAATCCCCAGTCCAATCACTTAACCTCCTTATGGACTAAATGATTTCCAAGCTGTCTTGTACCTCTAGAATGATTATTTCAGAACTTATTTTTTTTCTGAAAAGAATGTCCTTCAAATATCCTGCATCAGAACAGCTATCCTAACGAAGGAAGTAGTTGTTTTTTACACTCCAAATAGTTCAAAATCAATCATTGTGGTTTAGAAAGTTACAAAGGAAAAGTGGAAAGTATATTTTATAAAAATCTCATTTCTGTTTATGAACTATGCACATTACGAAAGCAGCAAGTAAGGAGTCTGAGATTTAGGTTTTCAATTATAGGTAAATGATGAGAAGAACTAAGAGAAAAAATACACAGAATTTCATGGTAGCTAAAATGGTAACAAAAAACTAATAAAAAGGATGCATGCTTAACTTTTTTAAAGTGAAGATCTTTCATTTTTAAAAAGTGTTATTCCACTAGTTTATTAAAAAAAGAAATGAAAATTAGGGAACTTTAAAAATTTTTATTAAAGATATAGGAACTAAATTTTTTAAACTAAATTAGGGGTCGACAAAATTGAAACAAAGTAAAATGATATTATGGTTTCCCCAAAAGCTGAATCTAAAAAAGGTAAACCTGTAGTTCTATATGGTATCAGAACATCATCTGCAGGCTGAGACTCTCATTTCATATATTAGTAAAAAAGGTGGTGATTAAGACCTAAACTTGTCTAGTATATTTCAGGGATGGTATTTGGTTTAAAAACTGAAAAAAACAAAAACCTATAAATAGAAATATGGGGGAAATTTTGATTTAATCTTAATGTCTCATTATTTATGAAAAAAATATAAATCATGAAAATACAAAAATTTTAGTTTACTGGCCACAGCCATGTCTCTACAGTTTTGGATCATATGTGCTCTGTTCCCACAGCAATTTAAGAATTTAGAAGTCCAATACCAACACCTACAATTTGCACAACCTTTTTTTTTTTTTGGCAATTGGGGTTAAGTGACTTCCCAGTGTCACACAGGTGGTAAGTGTCAAGTGTTTGGTCTGAGGCTGGGTTGGAAGTCAGGTCCTCCTGACTTCAGGGATGGTGCTCTATCCACCGTACCACCTAGCTGCTCCTTTGCACGTCTTTTTTATATCTCATTTTCTGGCTGGAGTTTCACTGATGTGAAAGTGCTTATAGTGTGTTGGCCCATCACCTAATTTTAGGGATCTGTTCACCCTGAAAGATTATCTTGTCCCACTCCATTTATTTTACAAATGAGGAAAGTGAATTCTCAAGAGATTTCAGGACTTGCCCAAGGTGATACAGACAGTTACTGGTAATGCTGGGATGACAGCAAAAGTCTTTGGACTCTTGATTCAGTATTTTCTCCACTACACCAAAATACATTTGAATAATTTGCATTAACAGGAAAAGGTTCAAAAGGGATGGTATCTCATTTTTAAATGCGAGAAAGCAGTGAGATAGAAACCCAGAATTTTTATTAAAAAGATACCAGAAGGAATATGCAAAAGGCTATAAAATGTACATACCCTTTGACTCAGCAATAGCACTTCTAGAGCTATATCCCAAAGAGATCACACAAATGGGAAAAGGATCCAGATGTACAAAAATATTTATAACAGCTCTTTGTGGTGGCAAAGAATTGGGAATTGAGAGGATGCCCATCAGTTGGAGAATGGCTGAACAAGTTGTGGTATATGAATGTAATGGAATACTATTGTGCTATAAGAAATGATGAGCAGACAGACTTCAGAAAAACCTGGAAAGACTTGTATGGTCTGATGCTGAGTGAAGTGAGCAGAACCAGGTGAACGTTTTTTACAGTAACAGCCACACTGTGTGATGACTAATATTGATAGACTTAACCCTTCTCAGCAATACAAGAATCTAAGACATCTCCAAAGGCCACATGATGGAAAATGCTACCCACAAAGAAGAAAGAACTATGGAGTTTGAATGCAGATAGAAGCATTCTGTTTGCTATTTTTTTCTTCTGTTGTGTTTTGTTTTCTTTTTTTTTGTTTTGGTTCTAATTCTTACTTAAAACATCACTAATGTTTTATATTATTTTATATTAATGTTTAATAGCAATGCATATGTATAGCCTATATCTGATTACGCACCAACTTAGGGAGATCAGGAGGGAGAAAAATTTACAACTCAAAAGCTTATGGAAGTGATTGTTGAACATTCAAAATAAGTTAATTTAAAAAAGGTAAAAAAAAAAGATACCAGAGGTAAGGAAAGGAACAGTAGTGTGAGTGATAGAAAGATTTTTATATACATTTTTATTTATGCCTTCTGATGGTTTTAATTTTTGAATCATCATAGTTATCTCCACTATCCTTTGCCCTACCCATTCCAGAGAACCATCCCATAAAACAAATACTATTTTTAAATATAGAAAAAGTAAAAGAAAAGAAATTAACCCAACTAATCAATACATTGAAAAAAGTCTGAAAATATGTGCATTGTGTAACTACTGTGGACTTCCCACCTCCATGAAGGGATAGGTTTGCAATTTCCCATTTTACCTATTCATGAGATAGCCATGCTTTATCTTGATAATTGTGTTACATTCAATTTGACTTTTGTGTATATGTGTGGTTGTTCTTTCCACTTAGGTGCTGTAGTAGTTGTGCCTACCATTTTCTTGGCTTTGCTTTCTTTAATATCCATCAGTTCATGTAGATCTTTCCATGTATGTCTTTATAAATGACATTATTTTTTACAGCACAGTAATCATTCATTACATTAAGTACCAGGAATTGTTTACCGTTCCAACAATCAATGGACATCTACTTTGTTTCCAATTCTTTACTATCGCCAGAAGGGTTGCTATCAACATATTGGTGTATATAGAGACTTTTTTCTTCTCAGTGGTTTCCTTGGGGTATAAGCTCCAGTAGTAGAATCAAAGAGTTAACAAGTAAGGACATTTTCATCACTATATTTGCATACCAATCTTAGCCCTATCAACAATGTATTTGTGTATCTGTCTTCCCACAAGATCACCACATTGCCATTTTTTTGGTCATGTTTTCCGATGTATAGGATATGAGGCAAAACCTTAGAGTTGTTTTAATTTTCATTTCTCTTATTATTAACTTGGAGCATTCCTTCATGTCTTTATGAATGCTGTGCAATTCTTCATTTGAGAACTGTTTCTTCCTATCCTTTCACAACTTATATATAGAAGCATAAGTATTAGATATAAATATAGTTTGTTTATATATATATATATATATATACACACACACACACACTCACACATACACATATATGTGTGCATTATATATGTGTGTGTGTATATGTGTGTGTGTATATAACACACACACACACACACACACACACATACATACACATACATACACGTATTTTACACATATATTTTCTTGGATACCAAAGACTAATTAGAAAAATTTGATACTGACCTTTTTTATCTATTCAACTACTTCCATTCTTGTCTTAGTTGCTTTAATTTTGGATGTGCAGAAGCTTTTTAATTTCATATAATCATAGTTATTCTAATTTATATTTTGTACTTGGCTTTATATCTTGTTTGGGAAAAATACATCTCTGACTCATACTTGAGAGGCACATGACCTGCTTCTCTTCTATTTTTTTTTTAACAATGTAGTTACATAGATATACTGCTGGGCCATTTGGGTTTTTTGTTTGTGGTTCCTGAACCTAATGGTTATTTTTATTACAGTATATAGTGTTTAAAAGATAGAGGCTCACTCTATCTTTGTACATTTGTTTGCAATAACTTTGTACCCTAATACATGTTCAAATTTTGCTTTAAAAAATGCCTTATATAGTGTTGAGAGATATATAGATTTTTTTTATTCTCAGTTGGAGAAACCAAAGCTTTTTAGCTTTGGTTTCTTCAGTAATATTTTTAGGTCTGTATTTTTCCTTTTGTTTACTTTTTTTGTTAGACCTACCCCAAACTAAAACTAGAGTTTCCCTTCACTATTGTTTTATTCTCTATGTGTTCTTGTAGCTCATTTAATGCTTCCTTTATGAATTTAGATGCTAAGGATTTTAAAGCATATAAGTTTATTACTGATATGGGATTTTTGTCTATGGTTCTTTGAAGTATAATGTAGTTTCATTGCATATTCCTCTAAATTTTTGAATGTTTTTTCTTTGTCCACTAGAAGGACTGAAATTCCTGCTTTTCTGGATTAACCTGATGCACAGTAATTTTTTCCCCACTCTCTCACTCTTATTTTATGCATGTCTCTGTTTTTACAATCTGTTTCTTATAAGGAACAGATTATAGGGTTTTTCTTATCTAATTTGTTAGTCTTCTCTTTTTTGTTTTATTGGATTGTTTAATGAATTCACATTTAAGTTTATGAAATTACATTTGTGTTCTTCATTTGTCTCTAATATTGTTTTTAAAGTAATCATATTTTACCTTCCTCTGTAAAGTAAGGCAGTGTGATATCTCTTCAGTTACTTTAGTTTAATCCTTTTTCAAGATGGCCCCTATTTTCACTGCCTCTCTTCCTCTTTCTTCTACTCATCTCCTCTCCTTTGTTACCCATTCATTTCTGGAGTTTTGCTTATTAGTTCTTTTACTTTCTGGGATGTAAGGGCTAGCAACTTTAGTGTGAGGGTTTGTTGAACCCTTTTAAGTGTTACTCATCCACCTTTGGTTTCTACTTGCCACCCAAGCTGTGGAATCAAGAAGCTGTAGCAGGCACAGTGGCCACACTTCAGTGCCAGGTCACCTCAACAAATGGGTTAAACTAGGTTGAAGGTCACTGGTAGGTCTCAAACCCATTAGTGATTTAGAAGGACATCTACCCCATGCAGGTGAAGACTTCTCTAAACATAATCTGTAGAGGAGAATAATTTGTTTCAATGTCCATGAAGATGGTTGAAACAGGTACTGTGGAGCACTTAAAACATGGTCAGACATCTGCCAAGGCCCTGCGCTGCATTCTTCTCCTCTTTTTTCCTCTCAGCTAAGCAGATTCCCTCTTCCTCTCTTCCCCTTCACTTAGTCCTGTGAAAATTTCTTTCATGGAGCAGCCCAAGGTGGCCAACTTTGAGGATTGGGTGTTGGAGGAGGAAAAGGTATGGATAGCTGCCAAGTTCATCACTCATGTTCTGCCAGGATAATTTAAGGAAGTGTTTAATGATGTCCAGTTACTAGTTGACAAGGAAAATCTTCTCAGGAAAGGGGCAGCTGATGTATTTGCCCAGGATAATATGGATCAGTTCACTCCAGTGAAGATAGAAGGATATGATGATCGGATCTTAATTATAGAGCATGGTGACCAGGATAGTGGCAGATTTTTAGATCCAAGAAACAAAATTTCCTTTAAGTTTGATCATTTATAGAAAGAAGCAACTGACTCCCAACCTAAAGACATAGATAGAGCTCTGAAGTCATGGAGGGAATCCTGTGACAGTAAATTAAGAGTCTGTTTGAAAGATCACAATTCCAATGCCTTCTGTACTGTTTATGCTAAAATTAGAGATGAGCAGAGGACGGTTATTGCCTGTATTGAGAGCCACCAATTTCAGCCTAAAAAACTTCTGCAGTGGTCATTGAAGATCAGAGTGGAAGTTTCCTATCACACCACTTATAGCTCAGGTGGTTACAGTACTAAAGTTTCAGGCCTAATACTATGAAGATGGCTATGTTCAGTTGGTTAGTCACAGAAATATACAGGACTCAATAACTGTTACTAATGATGTACAAGCTGCCAAGGAATGTATAAAAATCATAGAACATGCCAAAAATAAGTATCAGATTACTGTTAGTGGGAGTTATCAGACAATGTCAGACACCACATTCAAGGCCTTGTGCCAGTAGCTTCTAGTCACCCACACCAAAATCTCCTGGAACAAGATGCTCAGCTACAAGATTGGCAAAGAAATGCAAAATGCTTAAGGCTGGATGTGAAATTCTCCAATTATAGCAAGAAGAAGAAGAAGAAGAAGAAGAAGAAGAAGAAGAAGAAGAAGAAGAAGAAGAAGAAGAAGAAGAAGAAGAAGAAGAAGAAGAAGAAGAAGAAGAAGAAGAAGAAAAGAAAAGAAGAAGAAGAAGAAGAAGAGAGAAGAAGAGAAGAAGAAGAAGAAGAAGAAGAAGGAGAAGAAGAAGAAGAAGGAGAAGAAGAAGAAGAAGAGAGAAGAAGAAGGAGGAGGAAGAGGAAGAGGAGGAGGAGCAGCAGCAGCAGAAGAAGAACAAGAACAAGAACAAGAACAAGAGGAGGAAGAAGGAGAAAGAGGAGAAGGAGGAAAGAAAGAAAAAAGATTCAAAGTATGGTCTTATAAATAATTGGTTTATAAACAAGTGTGGTATTTTGTTAGGGCTTTCAAAGTTAACAGGTTATCTAGATTCTTGGAATACTACTGAACCAATAGCATTGTCTTGATGGTTTTGTGTGTGTGTGTGTGTGTGTGTGGTCCTTGCCATATAACTTCCTATTGTGACTATGTCTACGTATAAGATTTTTTAAAAAATTCAGTTATTTTCAAGAATGAAAAAACAAAGAGAAAGAGATATGTCCTTGGATTTATGTACTGGTTAGAAAATTTCCTAGTCATGAAGGCCCTCTCATGAACAGGCAGGTAAAGTTTTCAATACCCCCGCACCCTCACCATTAATAGCATTTCTGGTACACCAGTGGTTTTTACAGATCAACCAAGAGCTAAAGATTCTATGCTGCAAGATGTACCAACAGACGTCTTTTCTCTTCTCACTGCTGATTGCCAATTAATGGCACCCTGGTAGCTGTAGATTTTTAAATATTTGCAATGGGGTTTTTAAAGTCCTTTTGGTGGAAAAAGGGCATTTCCCGGAAATTCCATAAGGACTAGCTTCTCTGGGGAAAATCTGGGGCGGGGGTTCTATGTTGTTTATTTTTTAATCCGAAGACTTGAACCACATTTCCTCCAATAGAACTTATTTGATTTTTCCTTTTCTGAAAATTCCCTTCCCTCTAGTAACATGGTTGTTATAGGCATATGCAATTTAGACATAGTTAACCTGTATATACATACATACACACACACACATACATATGGACAGGAAGAAAAGGGGAGGGAAGGGAAGAGAATAGCAGTGAACTGAAGGGAAACAAAAGAAATCTTCAATGTTACTAATAGGATAAGGGACTCATCCAAGCTCACACAAGTAGTGAATGTCTTAGCTGACATTTGAACAGTAGACTTCTTACTACACATCTACCAATACATCACCCTTCCTCTGCTACTTATTATCTGTGCAGCTTTGAGAAGTTATTTCACCACTCTGAGCTCTATATTCATCTATAAAATAAAGGAATTTGCATTATAAAATTTCTGAGGTCCTTTTTGTCTCCAAAAGTCAATTCCATAATGATTTAATAACTATAATTAGAGAGGTGATAGCACATTGGTCAAGAAGACCTGGGTTCTCTGAACTTTTGATAACCCATCTTCAAAAGGGGTAGACAAATATGTGTAGTGCCTGAAGTGTTTTTCTGAGCCTCAAAAGAGAGCCTATATGCAACATTCTAGGCAAACCTTAAAGTGTCTTATAAATATGAGCTCTGATTAAGCACATAATATTCATTGGACAGAACATGCTATAATTCGCATCCCAAGAGCAAATCAGACAAAAATCTTTTTTGTTGTTGCACAGTTGTCTGACTCTTCATGACCCCATGGAATATAGCTGATCCACTGAGTTTTCTTGGCAAAGACACTGGAGTGATTTGCCATTTTCTTCTCCATTTGATTCAGTGGATCTTTTTGTCAGTGAAATAGAGGTTAATGGCCTGCCCAGGATCACATGGCTAAAAAGAGTCTGAGGCTGAATTTGAACTCAAGTCTTCTTGATTGACTCCAGGCCCAGTGCTCTATCCACTGAGACATCGGTAGCCTGTGTAGCTTCAATTTCAGGGAACACTTAAACTGAATGAAAAGTGAATTAAACAGTTGATTGAACATAGAACTCATTTAGAGACAACATTTTAGGAATCATTACATTTTTCTTCAATCTGATTAGTGCTTTTGGCTTTGTACCTTTCAGGGAGAGTCTTCTTATAAGATCACTGACTGCGTCTGTTTGGTGCCATGGCCAACTTTATTGTAGTCCCACAGTGGACCAGATCCTCGGCTACTCTTTTGCAAAGCATGACATTTTCCCAATCATGTAGTACTGGTGATTAGAAAGAATGAAAGAAGAAAAGAAAAGAGGGAATAGAAATATTTCCTACTTCTTAAGAATCTATTGCTCTTCCTTCTATTCAGTTGTCACTATAGAAATCCACCACAGAAAGAACATTTATATTATTTACACTATTGGAATAGCATCCTTATTAGTCTCGATGATTCAAGTAATTTCTGCTTTCTGATTCATTTTTTTTCCATATGGCTCCTATCAAAAGGCTCCTCCTTATCTTGTCTACAGAAAAAAGACCTTAATCCTTATTCAGGTATTTAGGTCCTCTAGAATCGTGTCTCAACCTCCCTACCTTTCCAAATTCATGTTACACTAATATTCTAGATGGACACATTCTGTTTCTATCAAATCAGTCTGGCTCATCCAACACACATACTTCAGGTATCTCCTGTGATTCCTGCCATTTGTTATTCAGTTTCCCCACCTCTACTTCCTCTCTACGTATGAAACCATTGGACCTTTAATTTCCAGATTCAGTTCAAATCTTAATTTCTTATGCAAAGTTTTCCTTGATTGCCTAGCTCGTAGTGATCTCTCCCTCCTCACTTGTAGCCTCTGGTAAGTTCTGGTAACTTTATGCCCTTATTATATTTCGTGTACATTATTTCTTAGATCCACAACTAGGAAGTTATATGAAAGCATTTCATCCTTCTTTTTGAATCGCTAGTATGATGAGTTGTAAATAAATGTTGCTCAATAGAAAATGTTCATGTAGTAGCCATTGTCAGATACAATGCAAGCAAAGGATATAGTGTGCCCAATTCACCATTGCTGGTGAAACTACCCATTCAGTGGTAGAATCTCATATTTATGATTTAGCCCCTCCTTTTGAATCTATGTACATTGGTTATGGTGGCTACACTTGAATTAACCTAAAATGCAGATGTATGTTTGAATATGCTTTTTTTTCCATTTGAAAAGTAATTGTCATTACTTTTAAGTCAGTTCTTTAAGTATCTACATTTTTCTGAATGTGCTTTTCATAGAAGGCTCTGAATCACTAAATTGATTCATTGAATCAAACACATAAAAATATTGACAATGAAAATCAAATGTCTTTATTGTCTACATTTCATTAGTTATATTCATTTTGGAAAAAAAATAGTTGTGTCTCTCAATCTACCTTCTCTGTGAGACAGCTAATGTCATTGGAGATTTATAATGAGTGCTTTGCTCCTGTTATAGCAACACATCTATCTATCCCAATGTCATTGCACACCACCCCAAACCCAGAATCCAGTAAGAGTTACATACACCAGAGCTAAAACTATGGAGTCAGTCTCCTAAATCGCAAGTGAATCTATTCCAATGCATTTGCATGCTTTGGAAAATGCAAAGCCAAATGTGGGTAGTTTCCAATGATGATCTAATGAAGGCTGTCTTTTACAGTTAGAATGAATAAAGTTCAAAGAAAAAAAAATAATAAGTTTCTGTGAACATGAGGGAATGTTAGTTTTCCTTTGGGATGGGCTAATCTTGCTTATGTTCACAAAATATGGATAGTTTATAACTGGACCACCACAGCACAGTTTTTTTTATACTATTTTTTCTCTTGTCATGCTTCTAAAAAGTCAGGGACCAAGGAATATTGAAAGCCAGTATGCACTTCTTTTTTCATTGCATTTCTTAAAAGAAAAGATACGTAATATATGAAACCATAGGGTTTTCCTGATTTGAATGCAAGATTTAGGCAAAGATCTTTAAAATGATATTTATAGTGTAAACACCATTTTTGTTACATGAGAAGCAAACAAATCACAGCTTTTACTACAACATATATTTGCTTTGATTTGATATTGAATGTTTTAATAGATTTATGTAGAACTCTAAAAATAGTCAATTTGTTCATCATAGATTTCTTTCAAGAATTCTGAAAGGTAAAAAAAACAATTTTAAGAACAAGCATCAATTTATTTAAAAATTTTAGTTTCTTTTTTTATAAAAAAAGATCTTAAGATTAATCAACACACTATAGGCAATCATGCTAGCTTGTAGAGGGATCTACTTTTCAAAGAGTGTGACCCTAACACAAGGAAATGTGGCCTAGCAGGTATGGAATTAATTTTTGGCCTCTTCTATACAATGAATCAATAGTATACTGAACCAGATAAAATTCGTATGTGTTAAGAAGAAAAGGTACAGATGGACCTTGGATTAAGGAAAAAATCATGACTTGGTTCTCAAAAGGAAATTCAATTTCTGTTCCACATTTTAGCACAAGAAAAATTGGGGAGAAAGGAATAAATGAAATCAGGGAACCATTCAGAATATCAAACCGCTCCCTCTTGATACAAGTGATGATAGGAAACCAAAATGTGTCATTCTAAACTGATTATTGCATTGGGTTCTAGATCAATAGAAACCAGAATGATATAGCCATATGAAGTGCCCCACTTCTTTGAGGAGATATTTCTCCTAAGGAAGAAGCACATTCATGCAAAAAAACTCTTGGATATAGAAGGGGAGAAGGGAATAGGAATTCATATAATGCCTCCTACATGCTAGGCACTATGCTAACTACTTTATATATATATTGTTCATTGTTCCTTACAACAGCCCTGGGAGGTCAATAATATTATCTCCATTTTACTAAAATTAAAATAAGGTAAGCAAAGTTAAGTGACTTGCTGAGGATGACACAGCTAGTAAGTGTCTGGGACTAGATTTTAATTCAGGTTGTCCTGCCTCCAGGCCCAGCACTCTGTTTACTGTGTAATCTTGCTGTAGACTTAGAAGGTAAGGCAATTGTCCTCAGAGCCTAATGATTAATGTTTAGTTAGACTTACCATGAGGAAGCAATGCATTGGCACTGATTCTAGAGCATCAGTTTCAGGGTTCTCATTTGGGTTTATTCTTTCCACTGTGTCCAATAGACACAGTACTAAGTCTGGGAATGCATAGTTTGTCACCTTATTCCTATACATATATACATATACACACATACACATATACATACATACATGTAAACATACATATATAGTGAGAGACAGACACAGATATACTCACACATATATGTATATGTGTGAATACATGTATATATACACACATACATATACACACACATATTTCCTTTACCTAGAAGTCCCATTGAAAATGCTTTCTAAATATTTCATCAGTCCCTCCTTCGCCAGAAATTTAGTATACTCATTAGTGAAGTCTGCATCAGCGTTCTGCTTTTCTAGTGAATGGGTCATGATTGATTTCTTGCTATGGAGGGAAGGAAACACATCAGATTTAATAATTTTAGCAAGTGTGCCAATAAAACAATAATTTATGAGTGTGAATAGGCCAAAAAAATCCTTAAATAAGATCCATTTGTTATGTAAAAATAAATTATCATTGTTAGTGAAAAATAAATTCATGACTAGTAGATTAAAATGCACTTAGTAAAAATAATAGCTCGCCAAGATAGATTGTCAATAGCATATTGAATGAATTCTTTAGCAGCAGGTCCTTCCAAATAATTGGAAAGATCACTGGTGGATGTCCCTCATCAAGCCATTATTTCTAAAATGGGGGCGAGGTCCTTAAAAGGTTAAATAATCATATTGCTTGAAACATAGTAGATGTTTTTAATACTATGAAGAAAACAAATTTTAACAAATTATTTTAGTGCTTTAAATGACAATTACTATTCCATTCTTATCACCTTAAATTCAAAATTATCTTTATCGAAATTTTATAACAATGACTTCCAATTGCTAAAGTTTCAATAAATCCAATTATGGCTTTGAAACAATTTGGAAAATGACAGGACCCTAGCTATTGTTTAAAATTATAGCTTTGTGTTCTGCATTTTTTGAAGGGATTCATACCCAGTTAAGCAGATTCACACACCTAACTGCAATCATTATCTTTATTTCTTACTGACTGATAGTTCAATTGGTTAATTTACTGTGTTAGGGTGAATGGAACAAAATACATTTGCAATCCTAGAATGATGGAATGAAATTAGACATTAAAGTCTAGTCCAATCTAAGTAAAAAATCTTCTGCTCTCCCATTGTTAACGAATGGTCATGCAAATAAAAAATTTGTAATGACAGGCAACTCACTATATTTCTAGACGGCAAGTACAATTTTTGCCTATCTATAGTTTTTGAATGTTCTTTGGATCAAGCTAAGATCTCTCGGCTGCATGGAGAGCAACTCTAATTTAGCCCTTGAACATTTAATGTTCTTAGTGGATGTCACAGACTAAGACATTATGAGTATTGTAGAACTGGGTGTTATTGAAAGATCTGATCAACCTGCCTCGTTATGAGGTGCCTAGCAAATTCATAAAGGTAGGGGATATAGAAGTAATGATATATGAATGAGCTATGGAGAGCTAGACTGACCAGTTATGTGGTATACACAGTACTACAATGTAGCATAGAAATGTCCTTCAGTAGTAATACAGCACCTTAATGTAGTAATAATGATGTGATGATAATGACAATAGCTAACATTTACATAGCATTTTATGGTTTGCAAAACAGTATACAAATATGGTCTCCTATCATCCTCACAACCAGCCTGGGAGTTAGGTGGTGCAGTGCTTACAGTACTGAGCCTGGAGTCAGGAGGACTTGAGTTCATTCCATCATCAGACACTTACTAGCTGTGTGACCCTGGCCAAGTCACTTAACCTGTTTGCCTCAATTTCCTCAATGTAAACTGGGAACCCTGGAGAAGGAAATGGCAAACCACTCCGGTATCTTTGCTAAGAAAATATCATAAAAATGGGCTCATGAAGAGTCAGACATGACTAAACAAATGAACAACAGTAACATTATGTTTATGGAAAGGAAACTGAGGCAGAGATTGCGATCCACCTAGGTTTACAAAGCTAGTGAGTATCTCAGCTCAGATATGATCTCTGGTCTTTCTGACTCCAGGTCCAGAACTCTATCTAAAATTCTCAGGTAACAAAACAATGAGTATAAATGGACTCACCTGACCAACTCTCTAGGATATCCCCAAAAGACAAGTCACTTTCCAGGTGATCATTTTCCACCTTTAATAAACCTAAATTTTGGTCAGGTTCACTAGAACCATCAAAGTGCATGCCATTGCCCAGCCTGCTGGAATAGAAAACATCATGAGCTTGCTATAAATACCACATGACAAATATAGAAACGTTAAAAACCATTTAAAACAAGACATTTACAAATGTATTCTAAAAATAATTATCTATTACTGATGACTAGATAATAAATAAAGATGTTCTTTGCTTTCCTATGATTTGCAAGTGTGTGTATTTGTGTGTGTGTGCGCATGTATGTGCAAAAATGGAGTGTGCAAATTGAAAAAATACCAAGTAAGGCCTGAAGCTTCTCTTCTTATCTTATTTTTATCTTATCTTACATGATATTATAATATATTATATATCTTATATTGTATTCTTAAGTATATTAGAATATATTATATATAATATATTTGAATATATTATAGTATCATTAACATATTACAGCATCATTATTAATAATATATACTATACAATAATATGTTATTCTATAGTGTACATATTATCATAATATGTATTTTATCATTATTAATGATATAATATCATTTATGTATTATATTATTAATTTCTATATATTATATTATATATATTATAGTTTATTATGTTGTACTCTATTTTATCATATTATATCATACATTATTATAACATTTTTATATTATATTATTAATATATCATATTCTTATGTTATCTATATCTATCTTATTCTTACCTTATCTATTCTTATCATATTAATTCTGACAATATGGTTTAGAGCTTTGAGTCAGTTTATTCATACATCCAAAAAGATCTTATCTCTTTTGGTTGTAACACAATATCAGAACATGGCCAAAGTGCTAAAAGAGAAAATTTTGGGAAAAAAGCCCCATTACTGATATTTGTAATATTTCCTAAAATTTTTATCTAATGCATTGAAGAAGTAAATGAAACAAAAATACCATGAAGATAATGAATGTTACATGAGAATGTGCATCAAGGCAATAATGGTTTTAAAATATTTTGTACTAATGAGACCCTAATAAAAAAAAAGAAGAAAAGCTTCCTTTTGGATTATTTGGAGATGTGCCCCCATTTACCCATTTGGAGATGTAAAGAAAAAAAAATGTGGAAAACTTCTTGCTAGAGAGAGAAAATGCTACATAACCTGTGGGAAGTTCCAGGGGAAAGATAAAGATAAGTAGAGTTTCTACTTACCCTGACATGTAATGTCCTCTCTGTAATGAGATATGCTCCTCTCTCAATGACACTGGTGGATATTCAGAATCTTCCTATGTATTGGATTTCTGTGAAGCCACAAAGGACTTCACCTGTTCACTGAAGGGACTGCTGTTCTTCCTAATGCCTTAGCTGGTTCCTTGTTTCCTCTTCACTATACTCTGACCAGCATTTCAAACACTCTCCTTTTTATAGGGCTTAGACATGGGCCCAAGGAGTCTCACAGCTTTTTGTGATAGATGTAACAATTGTTACTCTCCCCGGAGATGAATGGATGATTTCCCTGCTTTATGAGGTAGAAAATCCTATGTAATCCGTGAGGAACATTCCATGTTCTTATTATCAGCGAGGTATACTAACCTATGGTGAATAAGTTCAAGATGTAAGGTACAGGGGGGCGAAAATCAACTTATTTAAATAATTTTAGGCCCATTCTTAGTAGGACATAGTTTTTTTTTCTTTAAATGAATGTGAATATAATAAGATAATGATTATTTAAGTGGGTTTTCCTGGTCATGAAGCAATGTTTAACAAGAGAGGTTTTTCTTGAAAAAATTTCAAAGGGATTGGAAATAAGATCATCCTATGAATTAAAGTAATGGAATTGTATGGGAGCTGTGTGTGTCTCTATGTCTGTGAAATCTCATGTGCAAAGACATGCATCACATTTATGAAATATTAACTATATATTATGTCTTATTCTTATTGTAAGAGAAAAATAATGTTGTTCAAGCTTAAATTATTTGTATTTCCTTCCTATGATTAAAATTTCTCTGTTTAGTGAGATTTACAAATAATAATGAGACTTTCAGAACAGCTTCAGGATCATTTGGACACTCAGGGGCTACTGATTAGTCCCTGCAGAGTACTGTTTTAGGACATTGAGCCTCAGAAGGTTCATTTCTTTAAAATAAGTTATTCTCACATTTTCTCAGGTCTCACATATACTATAGGAATTTATTTTCTCTGTTAAGTTTCATTTCTCATTGGAATCCAACCATATTGATTCTTTCTGAATAATATAAGTCTTGGTACATTATTACATCTATTACTCTAGGTACAAGTGTAGGTTCTAATGTTTTACCACTGAACTTTGAGAGAGAGAAAGAAACTTGTGAAATGCCACTCTAGTAGAAAGGTTCTCTTTCCAAATGTAATGTAACGTGGATTCCTGGGAAGGATGTAGGATTTGGAGTCAGAGGCCTTGGCTTTAAATCCTTCTTCTTCCACTAACTAGCTGTGAGTTCCTAGGCCAATCAATTAGCCTCTCTGTGGACTAAATGATTTCCAAATTCTTTTCTACCCCTAGAATGATTACTTCAGCTACTTTTTTTTTTTTTCTGAAAGGAATATTCCCCAAAGGCCTGCATCAGAGCAACTATTCTAGTAATGGTGTAGATTATTTTTACCCTCCAAACACTTCCAAATCAATCACCGTGGTTTAGAAAGTTGCAAAGAAAAATTGGAAAGGATATTTTATAATATTCTCATTTCTGTTTATGAAATATACACATTATGAAAGCAGCAAATGTGGGAATCAGGGATCTCAGGTTTTTTTATAAGTAAATCATGGGAAAGACAAAGAGAAAAAATTGACAAAATTTCACTAAAACAAAAATGGTAGCAAAAATCTAAGAAAAAGGGAGCATCCTTATCTTTTTTTTCAAATAAATATATTTCAATTTAAAAAAATCTTGTTATGGGGGTGGAGCCAAGATGGCAGAGTAAAAGCAGTGACTTGCTTGAGCTCTCCTCCAAACCCCTCCAAATACTCATAAAAAATGGCTCTAAACAAATTCTGAAGCAGCAGAACCCACAAAAAGACAGAGTGAAACAAATTTCTAGTCCAAGACAACCTGGTTGATTGATCAGAAAGGTGTATCACACCAGGCTGGGAGCACAGCACAGCGCGCTGGACACGCAGGCCGCAGCGAACCTGGAGCAGGCCTCAGAGGACTGAATCTCAGGCAGCTGTGGAGGTTTCCAGACTCCTCAATCCACCAGTGCCAAAGACAACTTAGAAGGTCAGTGGGAAAAGTCTGTTTCTGTTGGTGCTGAGACAGGAAGGTGGGGTTTCAGCTCCATTTCCCAAGAACTTGGCCCTGGTAGCGGGCAGCTGCTTCCCTAGTTCCCGCCCACAGACTGTGGCTGATCAGAGGAGGACTGCAGGGATCTCTTTGCCCGTGTTTGGATCTGGGTCACAGCTCTGGGTGGCGGTGCTGGGGTAAGGAGGAACGCTGGCATGGTGGAGCTTGGAGTGGCTGTGGAAAGGAACCCTTCCTCACAGTTACAGGACAGAAAGGAATACTTGTGGTCACAGGCCAGGAAAGGAGTAAAAACCTTCCCCCTTATCATACCACTTTGGATGAACTGAAAATTTACAGGTCCCTACAAGTATCTCTGAAAACAGCTATACAAACCCCTGAAGCTTGGGACAATACATTCTCCACATTGGAAGCAGACTCTTATCTTAACAAAGAGTTTAAAACTCAAGTAATTGGCTGGGATCATGAGCAAGCACTGCAAAAAGAGTCAGACCATAGAATCTTAGTTTGGTGAAAAAGAAGATCAAAATATATAACCAGAAGAAGACAACAAAGTCAAAGCTCCTACATCCAAAGCCTCCAAGAAAAATATGAATCAGTCTCAGGCCTTGGAAGAACTCAAAAGGGATTTTGAGAAGCAAGTAAGGGAAGTAGAGGAAAAACTGAAGTGATGCAAGAAAATCACGAAAAAAAGTCAACAGCTTGCTAAAGGAGACCCAAAAAAATACTGAAGAAAACACCTTAAAAAATAGCCTAACCCAAATGGCAAAAGAGGTCCAAAAAGCCAATGAGGAGAAAAATGCCCTAAAAAGAAAATTGGCCAAATGGAAAAGGAAGTCCAAAAGCTTACTGAAGAAAATACTTCCTTAAAAATTAGAATAGAGCAATTGGAAGATAGTGACTTTATGAGAAATCAAACACAGTAAACAAATCCAAAAGAATGAAAAATTAGAAAACAATGTGAAATATCTCATTGGAAAAACAACTGACCTGGAAAATAGATCCAGGAGAGAGAATTTAAAAATTATTGGACTATCTGAAAGCCATGATCAAAAAAAGAGCCTAGACATCATCTTTCAAGAAATTATCAAGGAAAACAGCCCTGATATATTAGAACCAGAGGGCAAAATAGAAATTGAAAGAATCCACAGATCTCTCCTGAAAGAGATCCCCAAAGGAAAACTCCTAGGAATATTAGCCAAATTCCAGAGTTCCCAGGTCAAGGAGAAAATTATAAGCTGCCAGAAGGAAACAATTCAAGTACTGTGGAAACACAATCAGGATAACACAAGATTTAGCAGCTTCTACATTAAAGGACCGCAGGGCATGGAATATAATATTCTGGAGGGCAAAGGAGATAGGATTACAACCAAGAATCACCTACCCAGCAAAACTGAGTATAATCCTTCAGGGGAAAAAATGGTCATTCAGTGAAATAGAGGACTTTCAAGCATTCTTGATGAAAAGACCAGAGCTGAATAGAAAATTTGACTTTCAAATACAGGACTCAAGTGGAACATGAAGAGGTAAACAGGAAAGAGAAATCATAAGAGACTTATTAAGATTGAACTGTTTACATTCCTGCATGGAAAGATGATATTTATAACTCATGAGACCTTTGTCAGTATTAGGGTAGTTGGAGGAAAAAATTATATGTATGTATATGTAGATAGATAGATAGATAGATATAGATAGATAGATAGATAGATGATGAGAATAGATAGATAATGAGATAGATAGTAATTAGAGGGCACAGGGTGAGTTGAAGATTAAGGGGTGATATCTGGAGAATAAAATTAAGGGATGAAGAGGATTATACTCAGAGAAGAAGAAAGGGAGAGGTAGAATGGGGTAAATTATCTCACAAAAAAAAACAGAAAAGAAAAGTCTCTTACAGTGGAGGGGAAATGGGGAAGGTGAGAGGGAATGAGTGAATCTTATTCTCATAGGATTTGGCTTAAGGAGGGAATAACATACACATTCAATTGGGTATGGAAATCTGTCTTACCCTACAGGAAAATAGGGGGAGAAGGGGACAAGAGAGCAGGGGGATGATAGAGAGGAGGGCAGATTGGGAAAGGGGTAATCAGAAGTAAATACTTCTGAGGAGGGACAGGGTCAAAGGAAAGAATAGAATAAATGGGAGGGCAGGATAGGATTAAGGGAAATAGAGTTAGTTTTTCACAACACGTCTACTATGGAAGTGTTTTACATAACTGCAGATGTACAACCTATATTGAGTTGCTTGCCTTTTCAATGAGGGTGGGTGGGGAGGGAGGAAGAGGAAAATTTGAAACCTAAAGTTTTAAAAACATGTTTAAAAAAAATTTTCACATGCTACTGGGAAATAAGAAATACAGGAAATGGGGTACAGAAGTCTATCCTGCCCTACAGGAAAATAGAAGGGGAAGGGGATAAGAGAAGGGGAGAGATAGAAGAGAGGACAGACTAGGGGAAGGGATATTCAGAATGCATGCCATCTTGGGGTGGGAGGAGGGGGTAGATGGGGTGGAAATTTGGAATTCAAAAACTTGTGGGAGTGAATGTTGAGAACCAAAAATAAATTTATATAAAAAAAGAAAAGAAAATCTTATTATACTAATTCATTAAAAAAGAAATGAAAACTATGGAAACTTTGAAATTATTATTAGAGGTACATGAACTAAAAATTTGAAACTAAATTAGAGGTCAACAACATTGAAATAAAGTAAAGGAATATTATGGTTACCCAAAAGCTGAATCTAAAAAAGTTTAACTTATAATTCTACATGGTATCAGAGTACCATCTGCAGTCTGAGATTCTCATTTCATATATTAATAAAAAGGTGGTGAGCAAGCCCTCAACATTTCAAGGATATTTTAGGGATGGTATTAGTTTGATCTTAAAATCCAAAAACCTATAAATAGAGATGGGGGAGAAATTTTGATTTAATTTTAATGTTTCATTATTTATGAAAAAAATTATAAATCAAGAAAATGCAAAAATCTTACTTTTCTAACCACAGACATGTCTGTACATATCCTCCATTCCCACAGTACTTCAAGAATTTAGAAGTCCAATGACCACACCTATGAATAACATCTTTTTTCATCTCATTTTCTAGCTGGAATTTCATTGATGTAACAGTGCTTATTGTGTGTGGGCCCATCATCAAATTTTAGGGGTCAATTCACTCTGAAAGATTATCTTGTCCCACCTCATTCATTTTACAA